AGCAGAGTGGTTGTTTGTTGGTTAGGTAGAACCTACCAACATGGGGTGCTCGGTTGCATGCTCAGTCGCAGTAGACAGGCGGAAGGGAGGTGGAGGGAGGGAGCGTCGAAATTGATACAAAGCCTCGGGCTCGAGGCTAATCACCGCCATAGGTGATTCAATCGTAGTCGACACATTAGCAGTATACTAGTTTGGATAGCCTTTTAGGAGATGAGTAGTTCCCCTTTTCCTTTTGTTGCTAATTGGTTAATAGGTGGTTAGTATTGGTCAGGTTTGTGAGGCTGTTATTTTGGCCTTGATGGCATTAATGGGTTAAATAAGGGAATAGGTTGCTCCTTCTCTTTTTTTTTAATGGCTTCTTGTTTCTTTTGGATTCTTTTTGAATTGTGCGGCTTTGTTGGCCCTGGTGGCATGGTTTGTTTTGGGTTGCGGATTGTCAGGGCAGCGGTCTGGATTTGGCCATATTTGTCCCTAGACCTAGAGCGTGACCCGCTCCCAAAAGCTCTATTGTTCTTTCCGGGTTGGTTTGTTGAGGGATTCCCGACCCCTCAATTGTTATAATATTGAAGCCCTAAGGGCCCTGTTACTTTGTAAAAAAAAAAAAAAAAAAGGATGACTGGACAATGAAGGATAACACCTGGCCACGCCGGCCCAGCCGATGCTGCCCCACCCCCTAACATAAAACTATCTCGCATTCCTCGCGACACAATCTTTTTTTTTTTAAGAGTCCAGTTGCTAGGCACACATTAGCCTTCCCAATGACATGGACACACAAACTATAGGCCTAGCTCCACTCCTCACGAATGTGCAAAGTGAATCTTCCTCTAGAACACGGGAAGATGCACCGTGATATTTTTTGTCCTTTGTGCATGTCGTGAGTGGTGGAGCGAGGCCCTATGGCATGTGCACCTGTGTGCTCACGGTAAGTCAAAACGAGGTCTGGCGCAGATGTTCGCAGCCCGTCAAGGGTGCGTTTTCCCCCCCTGAGACATTTCAACGTCCATCAAATTTCAACGTCGGTGGTCGTCGGGAGGGTGGGCATTTTGAGGTTTTGGGGCCTTGCAAGGGCTAGGAGCGCGTAGGACCGATAGCTGCCTGTAGGAGGCCGAGGAGGCCACGTTTTTTTTTTCAAAATTGAAACCGTGCGGGTCCACTTTTCTCGAATAGCAGAGTTCCTCTAATAGAAATGGTACACGTCGAATACAACGTGTACCATTTTTATTCGGATTTCGAAAAGAAAAAACTCTTGTATTCGAATAAAATTACTTTTTTTTTTGGAGGTCAGCGCCTGCCCTCGTGCTCCCCACCACTGACATGCTGCAGGTCTCTCTCTCTCTCTCTCTCTCTCTCTCTCTCTCTCTCACACACACACACACACAC